ATACAAAATGTTGAAGCCCTCGCGGGTCCAAATATTTGTCAGGCCTATAATAAGCATCCTTGGATCCACCATGTGTCGGGGTCTGGGGCCCCTCAAAAGACTATGTGTTGGTTCAGGTCCGGATCCTTAGGGAGGCACAATTCTCTACTATCCTCATCGTCCCTACTAATAAAGGTCAAACGGTTTTATATCTATATTTATGTATACCTGGACCCTCCGTCGTAGCAGAAAAAAGTGACAGAAAAAAACATGCACTCATGAAAAAAAGTGTTCATGCCTTGAAAAAGCGTACCACTGGAAAGTCAGATGTAGCTTCATTCCACCTTATGTGGTCTTCAAGTCCATTCCCCTGCCACATGCTGGCACCATCTGGCACCCATCCCATGCACACACAACACACGCTCACACACTACGAAGCGGCAGCCAGCAACCCCTTTCTTTGATCTTCAGTATCAACACTAAAGATTTAAGTAAAAACACCATCCGCCAAATTTTAAAATTGCGCCCGGGTTGCAGGAATTTGCGCCCGGGTTGCGGGAATTTGCGCCCAAGTTGCGGGCACCCTTTTTGTAAAAATTGTTGTAAAGCACACCCAGAAGGTTAGAACCAAACCTTTGTGGTTTCAATTGCACCTACTAGGAGAGGCCATATAGGATTTCCTCCCGGTCCATAGGGCCTCCAAAGGCCCACAAGGGTTAGGAACCAGTAGGCTTTAGAATTTACAACACCAAAAAGCGCTCATATGTCCTGAAAAGTGTACATACCCTCAATTAACGCTCAAACTTCCAATAAGTGCTCCAAACCATTTTACAAAGGATGCTTCAGGTATAGCAGGGTTGTACGTCCTCCAGAAATATGTTGGAGGACGCGTCCGACAAAAGGCCTTTGGGACCTGTCGACATGTCTACCGCACGGGTACTTCTGCCATGAAACGATTCATGGCTTCTTGTCGAACCTCAAGTCGGCAGAATGAACATCGCAACGATGCCTCGGCAAGGCGGCGAGTCGGCCGTCAAGCACGGGTTCGACACGGAGGATCATGCCGGTGACCCGGCGGTCGTTTGGATCATCCAGCATTCTGTGGGACTTTGGTAGTACTTTGGAGGTACCTGAACAGGGGTACATGACCAAGAGGCTACATTACCCTCTGAGAAGGTCCTTTGACAAGGTACCCGAACATTGTTGCAACCAACTTCTCAGAAGTTGACAAGGTACCTTTGGGTAGCTGGGAAATTTGTTCCAACCAACTTCTCCGGGGCAGCACGCTGTATCGGTCCGTATGGACGGCACACATCTCCGGAGGCTGAGACACCCATGAAGCTGAGGTGGGCCACAAGTCACTTCAGAGGCAACTGTCCCTTCGGACCACCCAAAAAGTAGATGGCACAGTCCGCAAGTTCGGTGGTTTCTATATGGAAGATCATCTTGTTTTTAGCCTCATCTGTCTAAGACATCTTGGGGTGCCAGTGCCATCTGAAACCACTTTAATTATGGTTTGTTTCCAATCTGGCATACGGACTTCGGATTGTTTCCAAACAAAGCAAACGTATCGCGGGCGTTTTTGATGCGATCCTTTCGGAACTTGGAGCTATCAGAATTGGACCACGGGTCGGCCCCCCGTGGTTCGAAGGGGGAGCCGAAAAGGTTCAAGGAAACATGTTCCCGTTTGGGGTCCAGTCGTACCGAACCTCAGGTACGGTGATGGAGACATTCTTATGCAGGTTTTGAGGGTCCAGTCGTACCGAACCTGAGAAGGTACTTGGATCCCTAGGGGTTGTCGTTGTCAATCTATGACCCAATTCTATGGCGCCTCCGGTCGGCCCCGCAGAATTTGAAACAAAAAGAACAGAAATACAACACAACAAACTCTCCCTTCTACAATGATCTTGGGTCATCCCAAACCACACTGTACTTTTGTGCACCCCGCCCCCCAAAACAAAAGACAACACCAAAAGAAGGGGCCCTTCTTTTTCGATCACATGCTCCTGCCGTGTGTGACCCACACACCGCCCTGCGAACCCAGGCACTTGGGCATCCAACAGCGCCCGCCAATCCAACTCCGATTGCACCGCTCCGCTCTTGTCGCGCGGTTGTACCGGGCGGTGTCCGCCACGTGTGGCGCCGCCGCTAGACGCCCCACGTCCGTCCATGCGTCGCTGGGCGACCAAGCACACCGAACAAAAGGAAGGTGGGGCTGGAGCCCAACAAACGTGCGGATGTAAAGCAAGAGACCAAGTTTCGGCCAAACGAACAAGCCTGCCGGGGTCGGTGAAGCTCTGCTTGGGAGAACATGGACATGGACGGCCCCCGGTAGCACGAAAAAAATCGCACCCTCGTTCCCAGGCTGTGTTCATCCTGCAGGTGGATATGGACACCATATTGGGTTTCGACCTGCTCAGACTAATCTGAATCTCTCTGGCGTGTTTGATACGCTCCACCTGTTTCTCTGGTATAGGCACCCCGTGAGGGAGGTGTTGAACCAGGTGTTGCTCAGCCTGTGAGTGAGCTGGGCCGCATGTGTTTCATGACATGTCATGACCTAAATAGACCTAATTAGCCAATCCTTTTGCAGCGTTGACACTCATTCAATTGGGATATGGCGTCTGTGGGTCGGTCGCTCCCACATTGCTCGCTCCAGCGTACTTCCCCCCCGCGCCCGGCCGTCCAACCGCTCCCGCCCTGATGCGGCCGTCGCGCCGTCCAGTCTCGCGCCATTCGCGCCTCCCAAAATCCCGAGGACATGCCGACCTCAAATCGACCGAGAATTCGGAGACTGACTGGTGCTCAGAGAATGAGGGAAGTTTCGCCCCCAATAGAGATTCCTTTGGATCCATTCCCTCATTCCCTACTAAGCACCAGTCAGGAGAAGATGTGGCTTTTCATCGTCTTTTTTTAGAACGAAGACGGTTTCTCGACGTGTCACAGCAAACAAACTAACATATCAAGCATTAAACATATGATGCGTCAATAAAAATAACACTATTATAGAAAAGATGCAGTGATGATGTACAAAACCTGAGCCATCCTGGTTGAATCTGAACGCACATGTTGACGTCAGGAAAAACTCTGGAAGCCACTCCCCACAGTCTATAGGTTAGTTATACCTCTGAAACTCCAGTCCGGACTGGTTGGTTAAAAGAATCAGACTGGAGTTGGGACTCTGCCTAGCTGGATTCATTCGGAAGACGATTCCTATGACAAAGTCATTCTGCAAGCCGCTAGCCAAAGCCATGTCAACTTGTGCTGCTGCCGCCTGCCCATCACTCGCACCAAGTCACTGAAGTTGGACTCACCTTCGCACCATAGATTCCGGACCAAAAAGGTGTTTAGTCTGGAGGTTTCGCTTTTTGTGTGGGTTCTGGAGAACCTTACTTAGACCATTTGAAGTCATTGGTCGATGTTCAGCCTTAGAAGTGGAGCTGATCTGAGCTGGTGCCTGAAAAAAAGGCTCTACCGAAGGAAATCTCGGCCAGGTGATTAAGCAAAGTACTCAAAAGCTACCTAACAAGTCTTAGTATGCACATATAATTACAATAGAATGGTGCACATGGGAGCTTTTTCCGGGAGAGGCCGCAGTCTTGCTGCGGATGGTCTAAGGCAACGCTCTTCAGCAACGCTCTTCACCGGCATCTTGGCATCTTTCATGCAAAGCTCCGAGCCAATCAGCAACGGCATCTGCGTCACGTGGGAGGCGGCCGGAGAGACTGGTAGGCTGCTCTATCTACCGGAAAGCCGGTGGTGGGGTCCTCTCATACCAGGTGGATAGGAATTACCTTCTGATTGGCCAAATCCTGCGGGTTGGGACAGTTTAGGTGATACTATGTTATACTCGACCTCAGGCTACTAGAGAAAGCTGTTATTCATGTTTAATGTGCGGCAAATGGAAAGTAGTATCGTTCTGTGGTGACAAATTGCAATGGGCAGTCATGTTTTTTTTGTGTGTGGCTGAAGATCATGATTTCGTGAGCGCGTTGCCGTTTTCCATGTCAACAACATTGCCGCCTTGCCGTTTTGGGTGAGTGTGTGTTCGATGTGTTCGAGCAACACTTGTGTGTAGACATCCCACCACTCACTGGCCACTTGTCACGTTCATGAACTTCGACCCTAGCTCATGTACCGTACCCCTCCCCTGTACCGTACCCCTGAGTGCCCTTTGCTACTTAGCTAGATCGTCAGGTCACGTGCGACAAGCAACAGCTCGTGGAGGCAACGCTTTCTTCGGAGGGGGTGCTTCAACCAATGCGGTTTCAGTGTCTTGAGGCTTCCGTGCATGCGTGAGTGAGTGTATTTTGCCTATGCCACAACTCCTGGTTGGACGTGCTGAAACATGAGGCACTCAAGACCCCAAGGCTTGTTGAAACCGAAGGATGTTCTCCAAACGTTGAACTCAGAGACAAGACCCACCTGCCAAACTTCAGCAGGTGAGGCACCAAGGAGACCGGGTCTCATCATCAACGTTGGGAGGATATTTATTCCCATGTGCATTAAATGATCACTAGCGTTCTTCAGGAGTGGATCATCACAGAATCATAGCATTCAGGAGTGGATCACAAGCTACAAGGAGTGGATTCTACAATCAAGGAATGGATCAGCTGCCAAGGAGTGGTTACAGAGTCAGTCATAGCATCAAAAAGCATCAGTCAAGAAATGGACAAACCATGACAACCCCAAGACGTTTGAGACCCACGCCAGTCACAGGGTGGCATAAGCCTCGCTGCTAGTAACAGGGGGACACATCCACTTGTCAAGGGCCGTAGAAAGACTTCCCAAAAACCTTCAGGGACTGGGGATCTGAAGCGATAGCCAAGTGATTCACAACCAAGGAACCCGAGTTGCGAGATGACACCGATGAAAGACCTCCCAATTGGACCTCACACAACAAGGACAAAAAACAACAATCCCTGGAAGTCCAAATGACTTATTTACTCCCGGTGGAGTAAAATGAGGCATTGTAAGGGTATCCGGGTAATTATACGTACAAAACATCCGGTTGGAAGAGAAGGGAAGCCAAGTCTGGCCAACTCTCGATCCACTTCTGTGAAGCTGGGTGAGACTGTGAGACTCCTGCAGCCAACAATCGCTTTCACCATGCCCCGAGCTCTCCTGGCCAAGTCGCTGAAACACAGCACGGAGGTGGTTTGCTCGCGTTTCGCTCGCGAGGTCTCCAAGACTTGCCAATGAGGGTTGGTCTACATTCCCTCGAAATAACTGGAAGTAGATGGCATGGCCCTGAGTTTGGATGACCATGAAATCCGAATGCCAAACAGGTGGTTCTAAAGTTGTCCACTTCCATGTTGGTTCCAGGGAGAGAAATGAGAAACAAAAAACACTTGGTCGGATTCCTCAGGCACCAGCAGCTTGTGTAGCGGGAAGAAGTGCAAAACTGTTCAACATGGTCACCTTGAGCATATGTTTGAGTTTGGATCTTCAGAAGTCAGCTTCAACTTCCTCCTTTTTGCAAACCTGGCAAAAGAGCATAAACATACAATCAAACAATATCAAGTATATATAATATATATATATAGAGAGAATAGATCGATATATTATGATATATTATTACTATGTGCTACCTTGAACATATTATCTAATGTAGCATAATCAAACAGCGTCGCGTCTTAATGCGCAGCGTCCCAACATGTCCCAAGGATCATCGTAGCGGAGTTTCAGCAGAAAGCACACATGGAACCTGTGGATGTACCAGCCCTTTTGGTTGTCTCCACGTGCTCGTTAAAGTCTCCACCAGCGCAGGCAAGGCCCGGCCAGGCCGGGCAAGGCTTTTGAGGAAACCTATTGATTTCCGGAAAGTGTAAATGATTGTAGTGGACCAGTCTCAGCCACACCGAGTTTCCACTAACCAGTCTGCCGTGGTTCTTTTGTTGTTCTCTTTTGGCCGATCAGATCATTCCTACAGTCATGTCGCATGCACCGTCTACCCACGTGCATGTGAACCCCCACGTCCTTCCGCGTCGTGCTATGCCTCGAACCGCCCGTTTAAAGCCTCAAAACGCCGTCGACTTCCGCGTCGGACCCGGTGAAGACGGGCGTCCGACGTCACACGGAGGAGGCCGCATCACCTGGAGAGATGGACGTCGGTGGGTTGTGACCACCTCGACGTCGACCGGATCGACCGGCGAACGACCGGCGAACGACCGACCGTGCGCTTCGACCGAGGCGGCGAGTGGCCGGCTTTCATGCGGATCATGATGCCGGCGTTGGCAGCCGCCATGAGGTTGCTTCTAGCACCGAGTCGAACACTACTATAGGAGCAAATTGCTTCTTATTGTTACCAGTATAGTAGCAAGGCCAGGAGCGCCCAGCTACTCGTCGCGTCCGATCGCTCCGTTCGCTTCGCGATGCCCGTATTGTTCGGTTCGTCCCTTCCACTCCGCGCCCGTTCGCGATCCCGACGACACGACCACCAGTCTCCCCGGTGCAAGGCGAAGCTCACATGCAAAAGGATGCCAAGGGTATGATGACGGAATGAAGACATGTCTGAACCATCCTGAACCTCTGGATACCCGACTGCACTGGATGGTCTCGCCCCCAACAGGCCTCACAATCCGAATCCACTTCGGGTTCTCTTCGTTGCTCCGTCCATTTCGCAGTCTTCGACCAACAGGACGAGAGGCGCGCGACCGCGGCGACGGCGAAGGGCGACAGTTCTTGCTCACCATGCAATCCTGCCGTTGATGCGAGCAGCGATGTGAATAATAGGAAAAACAAATCCCAGACACTCCATGGGACTGTCATATATGCCTACATTGACCCCCCCAAACCTCCCCAATGTAAGCATATATGACATGCATGGAGTGTCAAGGAATATCGATATCTATAGGACCGTCCTGCGATGCGAGCGACTGGAAGATGAAGATGCACATTGAACATGTTCGCAGGGCTACTCTCGCCGAATACAAAAGCAAGTAAACTCCTTGGAATATTCATGGAAGTGGAAAACCACCTGTTTGTAGAGGAAAGTGGTCATCCAAACTCGGGGGCCATGCCATCCACTTCCATTTTAGGGAGTGTATAGCTTGGGCCCTGCTCCTGGTGGCCAGGGCGCTTTCACGCATACGGTGGCATAAGAAACCTGAACGCACATGCTTGGTGTGAACCTGAACGCACCACATCAGCTCATTTCGGCTCATGATTGTCACACCCGTAAAAATCAGGGACCTCGAAGAAGTGAGTGAACAACGGTCACTTCATACCCCTGTCCTTCCAACGTCAAAGTTAAACTTCAACATGGAGAAAGGCCAGGGATATTACTATAATAGTTCTTTTTGACTGACCTCCTTGGAATGGCCAAGGCTGCCGAGCTTGAACTCCGTTTCGGACTCCGTCGACCCGCTACGCCACCCGCTACGCCCGAAAGCGGACGGTGTCTGCCTGTGTCCACTCGCTCCCAGAAATGCCGTTTCTGGCAGCCAGACCATTCGCCTGAAAAAAAAAGAAACCAACGCACCGGAAGAGGCCGAAACGCTCCACGGCTCCCGTTCACGCTCCAATACGGTAGATATGAAGATGGACCTTCACAGTGACAGGAACGAGATCCGATCTCGTTCTTTCAGTCCCAGAAAGAGGGAACGAAACACAGAGACTCCGAGGTCACGAACTTATATACCCTAAAGGTCCTGGCAGGTGGTGTTTGCTGTTTCCACCTCACACTCCGAGTTTTCTCCCTGAGCCGCTGCCTGGAGAAACCAGGTGGGCTTTTGGAAGAAGAAGGAAACGTGCAAACCGCAAGGTGTCGGCGCGACGAGAACCCACATCATGTCGGTTTGCCAAAGCATCTCGGTCGGCATTCTGATTGTAGTTCAACAAAGCTGACAGTGTTTGAAATCCCAACATCTCGTTCAAAACGGTTTCTCAGGTTCAAAACTAAAGCCATGCATGTTCATGTCTTCCTTAGCTGTTCCTCTGAACATGAGAAATGCATTGCAACATCCAAGTGTTTTCTTCTCCTATGGCAGCCAGGGTTTGTGAACATGGTAATGCTTCAAGCACTCTACTGGTGTCAACCATCCCCAGCACAGGCTGGCAGGGGGGGTTCGCTGAGGAAAAGCACCTCTCAGTAGTTCACTTGACGGTGGGCTTTAGGTTGTAGTAGGTTGTATAATAAAACAGAAATAAATGTGTACAGTGATCATATATTATATATAGTGTATTATATATATATGTAATATAGTATATTAGTATATAATAGTATATAAACAATAACATTGATATATATATATATAATTATTCGATTAATATCAAATATGGTTTCACTATGATCTATGGCATCTATGAGTGTGACTCCAAGAAATAAACCAAAAAAAACATCACCAAACTTTGGTCAACGGGTCAGGAACTGGTCAAAAACTATCCCAAACACTCCATGGGACTGGCACATATGCCTACATTGGGGTGGTTGACTGGGGGTCAATGGGGCGGCATATATGACAGTCCCATGGAGTGTCTGGGTATGTCTCACTCGTTTAACTGGTCCCAGTACGTAGGCCGAGTCCGGGGCACGAGTTGAGATCAACCCTTGGCGCCTGGCCCAGCGCCATCCGTGTTGGGGCAAAGCATGCTGACTCGGGTGTGCCTGGCGAAGGTGTCACGGTGCTTCAACGGTTTGCACAGCTCTTCCGCGCTGTACGACAAAAACAATTATGTTGAAGAGATTGACATCTTGCAAATTTGGAGGGACATCAGCAAATCTGGGAAATGGAGTTTCATCAACATCCAAATGCTGAATTATTGACGTCACCCCGAACCTCCCAGGCCAAGGCACTTGATCCCAAACTACGCCCGCCACGAAATCAGACTTGAAAGGTTCTTCCGCGTAGTGCCCTTCCCCTCATTTCCTCCCAATGTCGTTCATTCTATTCGCTCAACCTACCAGTCCCGCCACGGATTTGGGGCACTTCATTCCTCAAAGCTGTACCTGCTAAGAAATCATATGAACCCAATATATGTTAAAATATGTTCTTCACAAAAAGTGCCCTCCTCGAATGAACTTGCCATGATGTTTTATCTGGAATGAAATGATTTCCCATCCACCATTTTAGATATTCAACTGGACATTATTTCCGACACCGACCATTGTTTAGACAAAGCTACGGGAAGATTGATTGAAACAAACTGCGTCTTGAATGTTTTGGAAGCAACTTTGTTTTGTGCAATGGCTGTACAATGGGTCTACAGGACAGAAGATCTGAATGTTTCTGAAAAACAAATTTGTTATTTGTATACAGAAAGGCTTCTTAAAAAAGAAATTAGTGTGGTCTACCACATTGAGAAAATTATGGAAAGGCTTCTAAACAGGACGGCTTCATAAATGCAATCGGGAAATAGTCCTCTAAACCAGTTGCTTTCTTGGCCAATTAGTCCACAATAATGTTTTTAAAACAAAATTATGGGAGGGCTTCATACAGCCGGTTGGTCTCCAAAAAGGCATCTTCAAACAAAGTTGGGCGCCATGAATCCTTCAAAAGAGCAAATTGGTCTCCAGGAAGGCTTGTACCAAGCAAAATTGCAATCAAACATCTTAATCAATCATCCGATCTTGAAACGACTATGGCATCTGTAACTGGAGCTCAATAGACTAAGCAAAGATGCAACCGCATCGAGTGCAGCGCTACTTGGCTCAAAAACACAATGCTGCCTAGCTTTTCATGTTCATTGATTTCCTCCCACGAGTAAACGACCCAAGGATGACATGGGGATGTACTAGGGCGTGATACTCTCCAAGCAGTGGGTTTTGGTGGATGTTCTTCTTGCCAGGCTCCATCTTGTGGATCTCCTTACTTCAAAACACCTCCATAGTCTATCGCGTCAATGTCCTGAGAAGGTACCTTGCGACCACGATACGAACCTGCCAACAAGATATAAAATATGTCTCATGTTCCAACATCGTTTGCAGCTTCTCTCAGAGTCCACCGTGGTCTCCCAAAGCCAAGCGTTCTGCTTCGTTCGTTACGGCGCCTCTCGACCGTGGCAGTGCATGGGGCATTTAGAACCCACGGTTCGCCGTCCATCTGGAAATATTGTCCTTCAAATTCATGCACCGGCCGCCGGTGTGCAATTACATATATAGTATGCATGATTATCCTCAAGCGATAGAACATGGAGCACACCAACATATTCACCATGCTGAGGTTTGGGGAAGTAGCTCAGATGGCAAAGCGTTAAAACAAGTCCATTGTCAGGTCAATCCATTTGGGGCTTTTGGTCGCTCAGGTGGCCGCTGTGAACCAGACCTAGACCTTGACCTACCGACGGTCGTTCTCGTTCGCTACATGGTGGACCGGGGGGGTTCCAGGTTTTGACCCATCCGATCTGATGGCAGGGCTTCACGATATGCTCTACTTGTGCTTCTGTTACCTACTAGTAAGGCACCTGTTACTACTAGTAAGGCACTTGTTACTACTAGTAAGGCACTTGTTTCTACTAGTAAGGCACTTGTTTCTACTAGTAAGGCACCTGTTACTACTAGTAAGGCACTTGTTCCTAGTAAGGCGGGTGCTTCTCCGTGGGGTTCTCCACACCATGGCATGGCTTCACGATATGCTTCACGATGTGCTTCTCCACGTGATGAATCAACTGGACCGTATTGTCATGCACTTTTGGAGGCCGCAGTTTCTATCCAAAAAAACAAGGGCTCCATGGTGGTTCTAGACCTCAAAGATCAACCAGGACTCAGGACCATGAAAAGGGGTGTCCAACCCATGACTGCTTGGGTGTGTATTTTTATAGGGGTACCCCCCTTTCTAAGCGCCTGGCTGGGGCTGCCTGGGAGGTCTCTCCCCATTTGAGCATACCCAAGTAGGTTCCAAGCATGAAATGCCATGCACCGTTGGACGCCAGAATTTCTTTGCCAGTTCATCAAACTGGCCCCCGGTTGAGGAATGTCTGCATCTCTATACCATTGCACTGCGTCGAACATCAAAAATAGAAAAAGCGCGCCCATACGCACCCAATTCATGTCAAAGGTGTCCTCTTTTCAACTTCATCTCCACTTTCTTGGGCTGATGCAGGACAGGGATGTCACAACAGCTGGTCTGCAACAGCTTCTTGTTAAGGGTCATGGACACCACCTGAGACGTACGGCGTACAGGTCATCTAAGCCTCAAGAGCCTCAAGAAAACATCAGGTTGGTTTTATTAGATGGAATCATTTCAGTCAACTATGTGTTTGTTCTGTCATGTTCTGTCATTGATTTGGGGTACAGGAATTCTATGGAGTTCTAGCGGAAAGTAGACTTCAACCCCCCCTCAGAGTTGTTCCGCCACTTCCTTCCAGGTCTACCAGGAAAGACACAAAACACCACACATCGACTTTGAGAGTTGTTTTCTATCGCTTGTGTTATCCAACAACCTTAGAACATCGGTTTAAGATGAATCATGAATGAATCTCCATCAACACTCCCAGTTTCTGAGTCGCTGAGCCCTGTTTGGGGAGATCCCCAGGTCGGGAGCACACGACAAATGCTGAAAAAAAGGGGAAGAACTGGCCCACCTTTATTCACATGAGTGTGTATTGAAATAGGGAGGCCTTTGATCTCCTGGTTTCGGAAACTATACCAAAACCCACCCACTGGCGCTGGCGCTATCCGGGCGTCCCCCAAGCTGAGAACCCACACCGCACAGCCATGGGAATCAGAACCCACCCACCCCGTTCTTGAGAGCAAATTTCAGGAAAACAGCTCAGTTCATGGGGATCTTCACCAAACGTATGGGCTGTCGCTCAAATCCCTGCCTGTCCGTGAGAAACATGGTCTGCTTGACACCCGATTTTATTGCTTGGGGGTCCCAGCTGCTGCTGTTTGAGACCAAGTAACACCGTAGGGTCCTTCTCGGGTGAACACCTCCAGCTTTCCATCGTTGGGGCTCACGTGCTCATTGGACCCGTAAAGCATCATTCCTGCACCTGCCGCACGCTGCGCAGTCACGGCAGTCATGGGTGAGCGCGTGTACAAATCGGCCAAGTGGCCAAAGCAAATAAATATGAACACCGACACCAAGCAGGTTAAGCATTCAAACGGGTAGGGTGGTAGGTTGGATGGATTTGTTGAGGATCTGATGATTGAGGTTGATGGAGTTGGAGGAGATTGGGGATGAGTTTGATCCAAGCAGTGTGAGCAAAATCCCTTGTCATTTACATTTTGGAACGCAAAACTGGCCCAAGTTAGCTACTGGGCAGCCCCAAATACCCCAATCAACAGGTCTGGAGGGCGCATCTCAGATTGAAGGAGAGGGTCATGCAGGGCAAGGTGGGCAGCACCTTTCTCAACCGAAGTCATAACTCCAGGAGAATATCACATGTCATGTCTCATGTCTCAGACGATGTTGCTTTGCATTGAAAACAATTACTCATATAAGTATGACTGTCACGCATGACGAACGGTCTCCTTTGCATCTCAGCCACAGCACGCTCCGGAGTGCTACACGCGACCGCACCGCTCCACCCGACGTCCGGTCCGTCCGCCCCGCAACCCGTCCGGGCCATAGGAGTTCAAGTTGGTCAGGGTGAATTGCCGGATGGGCCCATCAAAGCGAAAGTCTTCACCTCGGAACCGTGGTCGTTCCCGAAACGCCAGGCCAATTCCGGCGCGTTGCTCCACCACAGTCCATTACTCCACACGGAAAAAAACCGCCCCCCCGCGTCGTGAAGACGAACATGGGTGATTGGGTCAAAAACACCAACGCGTGCAGCTTGGTTGGATGTAATCATACGCAAGGAAGAATTGCTGCTCAATTGGTGATATGTTGGACAAAATCTGTTTATGACTTAATGCTGACCCTACAATTGACAATGGGCTCGATCAAAAAGTGTTAGTAGGTATAATGCCCTTACCATTGTCCTGTGCTTGTCTTCGGGATATTTTGTCCGAAGCTCCTTTAGTGCCCTATTTAGATGGGTAAAGTTCATATATTATGAGTGGCTCGAAAAGAAGGAATTAGGAAGAATATGACCAGTACAAAATCAAGTAAGAGTGGAATGACTTCTGTTGAGCACTGCAAGAGATGCCGCATCCTTCCTGGAAACCCATGGACACCGTCTGCAAAATACCTACGTACAGAAGTCAGGATCCTATCAACTGGTGTAGGAAGATCTATGCATTGGCAGTAAATCCCGGATGATTTTGGCACTTGCCTCCCAAGATCAAAAGTATGCTGTGGTTTTAGGTCCCCAGACCTCAAATGACCTCAAGACATGAGAGTTGTATCATCTCATCATATCTCATCCACCCTTCCCCAGCCCCAGACCTGTTTGAAATCTTTTCGCGGGCTGATAGCTTTGGGAGGTCTTTCAATATTTTGGTGTAGTTCCCAGAATCGCTCAGGTCCACTTCTACAAGCAACCGTCGAGCTTGACCTCCAAGTCGTCCTTGTTCAGTGGCCGGGTGCGGCAGCACAAGCAGCGCAAGCAGTTTGGCCTTGGTACCACTGGGAGGGTCTGTTGTGACCCTGAAATGTATCTATTGACAGAAAGTGAATCAACTGCAAACACGCATTGAAATGGTTCGCCTACATTTGGGCAGCAGCAGCCCTCGCTGCATTGGTTAGATGAATTGTTCTCGTTACAATGGTTAGATGAACTGTTATTCCTGACAAACCCATGGACCTCAAACTCACATGCTTCTCAGGAATGTAGTCTTCCAATGGCTCAGTTTGAAGATGCTTTAAGGGGCCAGTCAATGTTTCTGGCGAGAATGGTTTGAGAATCTCGGAGAACCCAACAGCCGTGCAACATCAGCAAACCCAACAAATACTCGGATCTTCATTGCATGGTTTCCATCGACACAAATCCCTTCCCTCTGACATCCTCTGATGCCCCAGCAGTCCACATGGGACAGTCCACATGGGTCAATTCCGACAATCTTCCCCTGGGTACTCTGAGGTACTCTGATCAACCACTGACCCAAAAAAAAAGGGCTTGCTATCTGCAGGGATCATGGATCTTGGGGGGCTGTAAACTCGATTCAGAGATATATACATATATACTCTCAAATATTCAACCACATGAGCAAATTCATGGCCCGTCTTTCACTTGACCAGGTGGCGCGTTCATGCCGTAGCAAAGAAGGCCACCATGGATGAACTGGCATGGTGGTATGCATCGCGTACCTTGAAGTTGGATGGCAAGGTATTGCAGTTTAGTTTTGAGGCTTCACAGCTAGTCATAAATTGGAAAGTAAGTGATGGTAATCATCAATCAGTCAAATTGATCAAATACTTCCAGCATTTACACCGCCAGATCAGGGGGTTCTGTTCATGCTCACTAAATAAAACCTTGCCAGCAACAGTTCAGGATGCGAAAGCAGCACTGCCCAAATCGCGATGATCTAACCTTTGCTACCTCGAAGGCAGTTGCAGCGTCCATGCCAACGGAGAAGTAGTTGGTGAAGTAGCCTGCCGTTGCAAGTGCAGGCACAGAAGCAGCACACACGGTGCCCCTCGCTGCCACAAAAGATTGGCAGCTGCTGCAAATCAATATAAGCTGCCTCAAACAACAGCGTGCCAGAGCTTGCTCTAAAAGATCACTACTCAGCAACTTGAACACAGCAAAATGCACGGACAAAGCCCCAAAGTTTGAGGGTCGCGGGCTGAATCAAAGAACCTGCAAGCAGTTCTCTTCAGATCAAACAAGGGGTTCAAACACCCAGTGTCACCTGGTGGCCACTTAGTGGCAACCCTATTAATTTGTGTACAGTATTTCAAGTAAGACCCGCCGTGTTAATTGATTGAACAATAGAACGTATTCAATCCTATATAACACCCAGACACTCCACATGTATGCCATATATGCCGCCCCATTGGGGTGGTTGACTGGGGGGTCTGTCTGGGGCGGCAGTCCTATGGCAGTCCCAGACTGGTCGTGTATGGGACACATACAACTTGGATTCTCCGCTTCTTCCATGTTTTCTCTCACATCCCGATCGGATGAAGAGTTGGTCGACCGAGTCTAGAGTCGGGTGCTGGCACCGCATCGGACATGTTTGAATCGTCCAAGTGGAACCCTTGATGGGACAAGTTTAACATAAAAAACGTCCCCCAACCCCCTTTTTTGGCTTCGTTTTGGCCGGGGATTTGCTGAGAGTTCCGTTTCGGTCGGTCAACAGTTGTGCTTTGTTGCATGTATATTCACCTCTATATTCTGGAGCCTAAAGCCCAGAAGGATCTCCTGTTTTCATAGGAAGTTGGAGCATATCTTGGGCGGTTGGTCCAAAAATGACCAAAATAGAGGTCGCCTTCTTCCCTGCGGTCTTCAGTCTTCGGTGGGTCTCGTCTTGCATGTAAGCAAGCAAAAGCTTGGAGAGACGCGGACCAACATGATTGCTCATCGCATCAGGCAAACTGGATACATCCGTAAGGCAAAAAATGATGATCTCCTCAGCTGCCAGGCTTGCACCAAGCTGAAACCCTTTCAAGCCCTTTCATACCGTGCCATGCCGTACCCATTCTGCCTATGAAGGCCACCGTGCCCTCTTGCTGTAAGGATCTCGGGAGCAAATGAGTGGGTCTCAAGACCAGCTTCCTGAGGCGATCGAATCGAACAGGATGGGCGCAAAGAAACATCGGCAGATCCAGTTGATACCCTGGGAGTCAAAGACTATAAAAAGAATGGTTTTTTAGGGTACCTGAAAGGGATTTTCCTTTACTTCACTATCGAAAAGTATAGTCTTTGGACTTCTAGGGAATACATACCCAATTTTCACTTTTCAGGATACATCGCAATGCCCCAGGTGTTCTCCCAGGCCACGAGCAGTTTTTGGAAAAGTAAGGACCATGGTGTCGTTCAGTCTACTGCTCTGGACCTTCTGGAACCATTGGTGCCCAATGCGTCTAGATCTCTAGACCTTCTGCTTCTACACCTCTATAGACCTTAGACCTTTAAACACACTGTTTGGGGTCTCTTGTCGGGATAATACAGTACCTATATATGTAATAAGACCAAACCACTTCAAACCTCAAAAACCTTGGGCTTGCCTTTCCCCGGATGCCTTTCATGCCTTGCGGATATGCACTCAGGTGGTTTTTCGGACTTAAACAACACCACATGTCATGTCACATATCACTTACATATCAATCTATCCCATACACTCCATGGGACTGCCATATATGCTTTACATTGACCCCCCCAAACCAAACCACCCCTTTTTGGGGCGGCATATATGGCAGTCCCATGGAGTGTATGGGATAGTTATATACTAGAAAGCTTTACTAAGAAGATTCTTTTAGACATCCTCAAAACCTGGCTGTGTCTAGTTTGGAGTGTATGGGTATATCACACATCTCACCATCTTCGATCCTGAACACCGCCCCTTCACCTGTCAAGGCTCCACTGATCTAAGAGCACCTTCCCCGCACAGCGTGCGCGTTGGATATACTTCGGCAGGTCAGAGGTATCCGTCAAGGCTGGGCCCCAGCCTGGCAGGAATTGCAGCCAGTCTGAGGTTTGTTTAGACCAGAATCGAAGGGGAAACACCTCGAAAAAAACCGGTCCCCCAGGCGTTAATGTAGTTGGCCACGGAATCTGAGCCAAAGGGGTCTGACATGGTCTGAATCTGTTACAGGCGCAATGTACAGTGCAAGAACCTCTCTGTTCTGCTTCTTCACATCCACCGCTGAAACAGGATATCCCTCCCTCTCCCCCAAGCACTGAGCCAAGCAGAACTGGGCAACACCTCAGTGGCCATATTCCCGGCCACAGGTTGGATGTCCGAAAAAGAAGACGAAGCCTTCCACCACAGCTTGGAGTCTTGAAGTGCCGAAGAAACGATCCAGTTTCGATCGAACGCCGTTGAGAGTAGACATGTTGAGACCACTTCCGGATCGAACACGGCCGAAAATCCGCCTATTTCGGTGAAAAAATGCCCCCGGTCCGAATGGACCTCATCGCCATCTGGGGGTTTACACAATGCTTTGATGGCATCGAACGACGAAGTCACGTTGTTAGCTTTTGGTGAATGTATCTGAAGATACTGAAAGGGCCCTCTTTCCTTTTGCTTCAACTCGAAGTCTATAGGACCCCTATAGCAAATCCTTGAATAAATTGCGCACAAAATGTTACGTTTGATCAGGAACGGAACGCAAAATCCGATCAACCGGTTAGACATGCCGGAGTTTTGTTCTGGAAAAGGCGGAGTTGCGATTGAACATAATTCTTTTCGCAGAACAAAACTCCTGAAGGATGCGAAATCGTCGGCGACATCATGCCTAGGGATCTGGCCAAGTCGTTGCCGGTACCTGAGGAAGCGGCGGCGAACGCATGTGCCCAGGTCTCTTGGTCTCTTTTGATCAACCAAAAGTGAGCAGTCAAGCGCTTCTTCCGGACACAGTACTTGAGTCAGAAAAACACAACTGAGTTATCAAACACCTGATCTCTTCCAAGGCTATCCCAGTCCATGTGGTAGAATTGAAGAGGTTTATATTGAGCGTCTTTGAGCCAAATGGAGTCATGGAGGCTGAACCATCTTCCCGACTGGTCAGGTCTCCGGAGACTGGTCGGATCACACCGGTGCCAGGCGGCCCGAACCCGGTCCACGGCCGCAAGGGGGAGAAGACGACGTGGGACATCAAAGCTAGGGGATGACTGCATGCGCATGGACCAAATATTTAGGTATTCTTACACTCCCTGGAACTAACATGGAAGTGGATGGCATGGTCCCGTAACGAAGACCATGACATCCACTACAAACAGTTGGTTTTCCACTTCCATGTGAATTCCAGGGAGAGTAGATAGATCGTGATAGATGGATAGATGCTCATGGACGGCACCAAAAGCAATGCGTGAGGGCTTCGTCCTCGCCAAAGCACGGAACCTTGGATTCAGAAGCTTGTTCAATAGCTGGCCGGGCTGGGATGAGCATGTTCACATCATTCAAGTTGGGGCGGTCCGCTCAGTTCCGCTCGGTCGTCCGGACGCCGCGAGGTGTCGCCCTGCTTTCGCTCAAGGTGCCCAGGGGAATAATGCCCACAGAGGGCATCATGAGTTGATCAAAGGTGGTGGACTTTCGAGCATTGAGTTCCTGGGGCGAAAAAGAAAAAAAACAAAGGAGCATCACCGTTCTCAGGGCATGAAAGTACCTTTTGGCACCAAAGACCTAAAAAGGACATGCTCAAAAGGAAGTCATGGATGTACTGGGACCCTACAAAGTAGGACCATGGACTTCGAGGGAAACATATCATCTGTTTCATAGCTTCATGGGCGCCCTGAGGTTTTGGAAGATTGATTTTTGTGCGGTGTGTGGAGGCTGGATGGGGCAAGTGACAGTGGGTAGTGGAAACTTGAAAATAGCTCTACCTGTAACAGGAACTACGATCACAACAGGTTCACAACAAGCAGAAGCAGAATGAGGCGATTTACGAACATGTTGCAATGTTGGATCCTGATTAGTAAAGGGATCCTCTACAATGCTAATTTTTCCAAAACTTGACCCCCATGATCGTTTTAAGCGTCCTCTATTATGCTCACTTTTTGGGGGACCCTAATCTAACTATTTATTATCTGAAACATACTTAGGGTGTTTAAATCTATGAATCCGAAAAAAAAGGAAAATGAATACTACAATCAATTATAAAGGAATCCTCCCAGGAAACCAGACTTGTTTTGGCACCAATATATTGTAGAGGACCTCCCATTTGTTTAGAGGGGGCATCCCTTTTACTAATCAGGATCGTACATTAACATGATGTAACATGTCACAAGCAACTGTTCTTGTCGAGGGACTCCTCATCGTCAGGTTGCTTTGGACTTGCATGACAGCAACTAGATCGATTAAAGCAGAAAACAAACGTCGAAAGCTCCGCAAGCGTGTCACGTCTCCGAGTGCTAGTAGAAACACACCCATGGTCCAATCCTCAGGTCCGGTAAGAGGACACTACGACTGAGTGCTCTTGACCTGGGCGGACCTCCAAACAAACCGCAGGGGGGGCGCATCTTCAAAACCCGCAGGTCTAGCGGCTTCGGGTCAAGACGCATCGGCATCCAACGGGAACGGAGGGACTCGGTGGTCTTTTCACGAGGTCCGCGTGCGACGTTGAGGAGGGGTTCTTTTGGGCGGAAATCCGAGGTGCGTGTTTCACCATGTTTCACCCAGCTAGCAGCACCCTATCTATCCGAAGATTTCATCTGATCTCCAAATCTATCCGAGTGACTCCCTCAGTTTCCCTGAACGTAACACAATGTTATACTGAGGTCTAGTGACTTAGGACTTACCTGTCTAGTGACATAGTCGGCTGGGATAGCCAACTCCTGACTAATGTGACTACTAATGTGCCTGGTCAAAAGGCAAACTTACATGCGTTTACCCCCCCTCAGGGAGCAATCAGAAAATAAACCAGAAAAGTAAAACTGTTGAAATCAATGTGTGAGAGACAAATCACATGCATCATGACATGGGCAGTTGGTCCCTTTTTCAGCAACCCTGGCTGGAATTATCGTGAAATGACTGGAATTATCACATGACACAGGGGTTTTAAGCCAAGGTTTCCAGCAAAAGTCCTTGGTAATTGTCCTTCCTTGTTTTTCATAATGTTTAGTTGTTTTTTTCCAAACCTGCTCTAGAAGTCCTGTTTTATATTCTCCCCGATGACTTAGGCCACACGTGCTTTCTACCAGATTTACTTTGCCTGATGACTTGGAACGCTGCAATTTTGAGGTAGCTCCGTTAACTCCTTAGTCCTTAGCCTCCAGTATATTGCATTAAAGAAAAGGACACACACACACATAAAGCACATAAACAGCTCCCCAAAAGAAACCCTTTCCAGGTGATCCACGTACTTCCCGCTAGCTCGGACCTGGTAGGTCCTCGACCGAGCGAGCGAGGAGCACGCCGAGGTTCTGAGAGGATCCAGGTGACGGTGCCATCACCGCCACAGGCGAGGATCGCCACTTCATTGTTCTTCTTCAACTGAGAGGCTGCTTCCTCAAAGCCATCTTCCTTGGATTGCTGATGTTTTTCGTTGGCAAAGAAGCTAGTGCTGCGTGCCATGCAGTGGTGCCATGCGAAAGCACGTGCATCATCCAAACACATCAAAAAGGCAAGGTTGAAGTTGCTGACATCCACCCCTTTCGAAGTCCAAGACGAAGAATTTAGTGGACCGACCTGGTGTAGTCTTCATAAACCATGGGTGTGTAGTTGTCAAAACTTGTAAACCAACTGATGGTGGCTTTTGGTCCTGTGGATCGGATGGACCGGTCCTGCGGATCCTTAATCCAACCCGGTTTTCGTTCCCCATCGGGACCTCCTGGAATCGCCCGGCTCCTGCTCCGCATGCTTCCCCCGGTCCCACCCGGAACCGCGCCGGTGGATTCGCCGCCCCGAGCGTCCAAGTCGTCAGGTAGTTTGCACACCCGACCGGTCCTTGGCGCTGCGGCGAAACAGGTGCGACCGGCGCGCGACTAGGCGCGACTCGGCCGTGGGAGGCGGTCGCGACCGGGGTGATCCGCGCAGTCGTACGTTTCTCGCGACGAGACACCGAAGGCTGGTGAGAGAAGGAAGGAAAGGCTAAGGCCGTGAAGGCGGAGGTGGATCGGTTAGCGGGAAACAAGCGAAGCGCTGGGAGCTGCGAACTGCTGGGACCTGGGAGGAGGGACCTGGGCTGGGACCTCTTTCAACACCGGCTGGTGCCCTTAGCCTTAAAGTCCGACCAGCAGGATGCAACAGTTTCGCTTTGGATGATTGAGAGGGTGATCCTCCTTCGAGTAGAACACGGTCCCTTTGCAAGGAAGCTCCTCCTAAAATACCGGTCGGAGTGCTGATGTTTGGCTTCCAGAAGTTTTCTGCAGCAGGGGGGAAACTTGACTGGTGCGACGAAAGCAGGGTCCCATGAGGGTGGCTGGCCCTCGCCTGAGTGACCTTTGTGTTTTCGGGAAAAGACCCATATGATAGTTGATCCTCCAAAATAGAGGTGACTCAGGCTCCAGGTATATATTCCCTTAGGATCGCATAGCATCCAGTGATGTCAAAAGAAAATCACAAGCTCCTTCCCTCAAGCAGGACACGTCTGGGCGCCCAAATATCTGCGGAAGACCTTCTGAAAGTTCTCGCCGCTCTGATCGCCAGAGCCTCTGATCGTCACTGATGCGCCGCTGGAAGGAAGTGGTTCCCGTTGCAAAAAGGACTGGATTTGGGAGGCACTGGCGGAACATCTCAGTTTTCTGACATCCGATTCTTGACTATTCTCATCAATAGATTCTTGTTATGTCAAGCTTCCTGGCAACCCCAGTTCTTGACATAGCAAGGCTAATGTGTTGCGGAGGGCTTCGGCCACTTTGGCCACCAAGCTGAGCTTCGAGATATCATGCAAGTTCTCACACTCATCGGTCAGCATGCCATTTCAAGATCGCAAAGTTGAATGTCAAAGACGTGGGGAGATCCCCCTCCAGCGGCCATCAAACAGAACTTCCAGTGACAAAATGATCGTCAAAGTGTGGTCCAAAAAGGACAAGCGGATCTTCAGGACAAGTCTTGAACTCACCAAGACTCCCAACAGGAATCAGGAATCTGGAAAAAATAGAAAAGGTTGCAATTATCTTCCTCAGAGGGGGGTTGACCCATGCATGGGGAAAATGACAATCACTAAGATACCCCGAGCAAAACCAGGCATTAGGATCCCTCCCCAAACACTCCCCAAACAAGTGGGTGTCTCAAGGTTGTTCGTCATCAGAGTTTGTCCTCTTGGGTGATGTTGTTTATAGAAGACACACGGAATCAGTGTAAAAACACCTTAGGTCCTTAGGTATGCATCCAATCGGTACATTGTGATCAACTTTGACATCCGAATCACCCAGTCAGTCTGATCACTTCGAGTCATTGAAGAAATCAAACAAATTAATAAGGATCAGGGATATGTCTTTGGTACATCGCCAGTGGCAGTACCAGGAACACAGGCCGACATCTCAAACAGATCATCCTTTACCAAAGGCTAGTTCCTGGTTTACTAGTACGCACCCCATCCGCCTGACCCGCCCCATCCGGCTGACCCATCCGCCTGAGTTCACGAACGCAAGGATGAAGCGCCGGGTGCCCTGAACGACGCTCCACCGCACGGACGGACATGGAGCGTCGGAGGCCACCAGACGTGGGGTTTCGTCGGCACGGGGTCCAAACGCTTCGTCTTTTGGTTTCGGTTCGTGGGGTGATAGACCGGAGTCGACCCTTGTATGGAGGGATTCTTCGATGTTCGAAGCGGGATCGAAGGCTTCAGGCTAGTCGTCTGGGCCACATCTTCTTGAGGTCTTGCAGTTCCGGAAAATCGGCGCGGGTGGAGCAAGGCGTGGGTGAGAAGTGACCAACTTGTTTCGCTTTGTCGGGCCCTGAGGGCCTGGAAGCCTTTTCAGAAGGCCAGCAGGTGAAGAACCATCGATCATCCACAGTCACATCACTTCGCAACGGGTTGGTCTGATGTCGTGAACAGCCTCTTAAACTACCAAACGACCTATACCTATGAACGACCTGCTCAATTATGGAAGCAGTCAGGGTCGTCCCTCTAGGTGTTCTTCTACCCTTCCAGGTCGGACCCTGCAGGGCCCTGATACCCCGATCCCAGCCCCCCACTGCCGCCACGCGAGAACGGTATACGGAGCTCTACGGGGACCGTCAGGTGGCCAAACCCCCAAACGGCGGGAAACGGACGCCCAGCGAAGGGCGACCGACGACCGAGGTCTTCTGAGCATCCCCGACCATTGGATCCACTGGCGCATCCGCACCTCACAGCGATTCATCGTGTCGAGTCGAGTAACATCGAGTCGTTGATGTCGATCACCAGGTTCCAGTTGGGAAGAACGTGCTCTCAAGGAAGTGAGACCGAGACCTGGTAAATCATTCACACCCCCCACCCAGTTGGATGGTAAAACCTCTTTATTGTTGTTCATCAAGAGTCTACATGTATGGACGTCGAAGACGGAACAATTCTAACACCGCCCCAAAAAAACACATGTCATGCCTATACCATCTGCTTCCATTCCAAGTTCGGGTCACCAATGGACCCACTATTTATAGGACTCCCATGGAAGATATTGGAGGTGCTAGGTTTGGAAACCTCAACCTGTAAGGCTTCAGAGGTCTGGCAGACCCTGTGTCAGACATGGAGTCTACATGTCTATATAAAAATGCAATCCAAAGTGCGCATGTTCAACGTGACAGCTGCTGATATCGACACTTCCAAAGGCCCAAATCTTCCCGGCACCACCAGAGAGTTGTCACTCATTCTTTTAGAGATGTCCTCGTTCAAGTGTCTTACAAATTCCGGCCTTTCACCTGAAATGCAATAAATTAACTATATAATTGTATACGTGGCTTCAACTCACTTGAAACACATTCAGCGGGTTCAATCATCCCAAGTAAAAGCTCCAAAACAAACAGAAACATTCTGAAACCACCCACCAGAAAGGCGTGTGGTCGCCTGGGCTTGTGCTCGTGCTTGGAAAGCGCACATCTTGCCGTCCAGGCATATCGCTCGCGGAGGTGGCCACGTCTGACTTACCTCAAGCTAGAAGTCAACAGGCTCAGACCGAAGATAGCTGAAGTTGAAAGCTACCTCAGCTTCTTCAAAGTGACCTTTTGAAGGTTCCTAAGTGACCCTTAGGAGGCTTAAGTGACCTCAAACCAGGTTACGTTGTGTTTTCTTGGAGCGTGATTTCCCACGATTTTACACGGAGAGTGAAATTTTGGTTGGGGAGAGGGCTAAAGTGCGGTAAGGGTTGCTTGGAACGTTTGTTTTTGGAGGTTTCGCTACAGTTTTGACTACATTAGTTTTCCGGCCCTATAGTTTTACGTTCTCGGAACAGAAGCGAAGACCGCCAACACCCAGAAGAGCCCAACGGTCCACGTGTAGCGCTCTCCGGACCTGTCCACACGCGTAGCCAGATCCTGAAAGAAGCTATGCTTATCAAAAGGTCACGTTGAAGAACCAGGTCTAGCTGCTTCTGCTTCAACCGCTCGTCTTGGATGACTCAAACAAGACTCACCGTCTGTGACTCGAACCGACGAGTTTCAACCGGTTCCGAAGCGACCGACGTTTCCCTCCGAAGACCAACTGAGACGATCTCACCCAACTGTGGTTCTGGGATGTGCATCGCAGCCGACTCTACAGGTCTCCATACCAGAGGGTTGTGGTCGGCCCTGTTCGGTTGAACCATTGGTGACCGGGTTGTAGTCGGGTGCTGGTAGAGATTCCTTAGGGTCCAGCCACTCTCAGCGTCGCACCAGTCGGGGGAGTGTGTTTTTTTCGGTTTTGGAAAGTGATGGTTCTTGGGTTCTTGCAAGGAGGACTGCAGAACGATGTGCACGACCAACTGGAACAGGACGATTTTTAGCGATAGAACGGGCAGCTTGTGTCTTTTCAACCAGCGAAAGGACAGGAATGACATGCT